CCAATATTTCAGATCTATCGTCGAGATAAACAATGAGTGAGGTTGATTTCTAATTACGAACAATAACAGTTTACTGGATACGGGCTATTGAAACTGTATCACGCAAAAGGTAGATTATTTTGTACCGTTTTTTTTTGGTTTAGATTTATTTACGACGTATATGAAACCTATATATACCTGAAGGTATTAGTATTAGGAAACAGGTGTTTTATGATTTACAATTAGAAAGTTCTCAGTTTTAAAGTTTATAATATGTTATTATATTTAATAATTAATTGTAACTTATGTGGAATAGGAAAGTTAGATAGTCTTGTATTCCAAAGTCTACAATGAATTCACTGAGGTATTTTTTCTTGTTGCACAAGCCAGTAGAATGCAAGACAGAACTGTATCTCGAGAAGCCATTTTCATTGTAAATAAAATGTTCTGAAAGCACTAGTAAAAAAAAGCACTAAATTACTGTAGCGTTTTTATTTCTTATCTAATAAAATAAAATTTAAATATTTAACTTTTTAGATTTTTTTCTAACGCCATTTATTCGCTACATGTTGAACTTGCCAAACTTCATACATATATTACAGTTTTCTCGATCGTTTGTTATGCTGATGTCCCCTGTCATTCTATCTTCCATTTCCGATTTACAAATACGAGAAGGGAGGTGAAAAAGAAGTAGTAGGCCACTGCCGTTCTTTAAAAGATCAGCCTGGGGGCGGACTTTTGTTTACTTCATCAGCTGTACATACTTAGATATTGGGTTAGATTCCGTTTCATATTTTGTCGGTTGATTTTTGTTTTTAACTCTATGATTTTTGGTATTATTTATTATTGTAGTGCAAAAACTAATTATTTTGGTGTTTAAGTGACATAAACTACTACCAGATATATGGTCATTCTCGGTTTCGCATAAAAAAATTGAAAAATTGAAAAATTACACGTTGTGTAAGTGATTTAACCTAAAAGTGCCCATACATTTTTTACTCATCGTGATTTTTGTGTGTGTTTTTTAAGACTCTAACAATTCATCAATAAAGCTTAAGTGGAGTGTGTTTTTGGTGCTATGCCTCATCTTTGTTGTGTTCCTGGTGGAAAGGATAGTTATACTAGGCAGCCTAAAGTGTCCGGAAGAGCAGGAAAAGTGGGTACGAGTTATAAATCAAGAGAATTCTATGGAAAATATCTTTAATAAATTTAAAAATAATATTCTCCCATGATGGTATTAATGAAAACTGGACAATTATGTCCAAGTGTTGTTGGTTCAGCTTCGATAGATTCAAACACGTAAGTAGGTATTATGATCTAGGGAAAAATAAAGAATATGTGTATTAAAGATCATGAAAAAGATTATTATTTTGAGTTCAAATTTTAAAAAAAAATTTTGTAAAGACAAGTCTGATACAGTTTAAAAGAAGAATGTGTTTTTGTTTGATAATATATAATGTATGTCAAGTTGTCAAGCATAACATATATTTTTGTTCAGTAATTTTTAATGAATAGTGTTGATTATTTATAATACCAAATTAATATCAAATATTTAAGTGATAGCTGAATACAATATGAATAAAATGACAATAAAATTGGTATATTTGCATAATACAAAATTAAGTTTTAAGAATAAAGGTGTTACTAAAAATACTAAGAAATTCATATTTCTTTGTTTTAATTGGTCTAATGTTATTTACATTTTACGTAAGAATTATACCGTATCATCGAAAAATCGGCGTCTAGTTGGCTTGAAATGAACATCGATGACATTCCCTAAATAACTGTACACATAAAATAATTAACTAGAATTTTACAACCTTGGAAAATTTGATATTCTTGAACCTTGTTTCTAATATTCTAAATTTTTGATTTTCTTGGGATTTAGGTTCGGGAAAAACGCTGATTAAGTTTTCATTTGGTTTTCATTATTTTTATTTGGTTTAAAAAAAAAACGTTTCGGCTAACATTATAGCCTTCATCAGTGTTGTGTCATATGAAAAAAATAGTGTCGAATATAATCCAAAAAAATACATATAAAATATTCACACCACACACATAATGTTTACTGCGTACTCCATAGTCAATGTAGATAATTTTAGTGTTAAAAATAATAATTTTAAAAAATATGTGGTCATCTTTTGATAAGTTTATATTAGTTTATTAATTGCAGTAAACATTATGAAGTGTGAATTATATTGTATATGTAATTTTTGGATTATATTCGACACTATTTTTCATATGACACAACACTGATGAAGGCTATGGTTAGCCGAAACGTTTTTTTAAACCAAATAAAAAATAATGAAAACCCAAATGAAAACTTAAATCAGCGTTTTTCCCGAACCTAAAATCCCAAGAAAATCAAAATTTTAGAATAATTTTACTTATAAAATGCCAGCGATCTTCATTTCATACCCATCGCTGACGCCTTTTTTTAGATAATATTGTATTATTTGTAAATATAATTTTTCGAACATTGATACTTGCAAAATATACATATAAATTTTGTGAATGCAAATAATAACACATCACTATTAGTAGATATTGAATGTTTTTTGTTAAATTAGATCGATTTTCCTAAAATTTAAAATATATTTACATTTTACCCATTATCTTATGTACAGCCTGGTTCCAATAAAATTGAATACGATTTAAAACATATTTTTATTATTTCGCGCAGTATATTTTATTATACCTGTCCCTCATTTCTCTACTCATGTCATGCTGACGTTCTGAAAAATGTATTTGCCACTTTGTCAAAAGCAAAGTTGTTTTATACAATGTCACAATAACCTTAACATGTTAAAATACTTGACACATAGGTATACACTGCTCAAATATTCGAAAAGAATGTGTAAAAAGTCGTATTCATTTTTTTTGGAACCAGCTGTACCTATACATTATTTGTAAAACATTTGCTGCATTTGTATGGTTATAGTTTATTTGCCAAAGTATTTATTACTATAAATAGGTATATATGTTGTAGTTATTAACTGTGTATTATGTATATTTCATGTAAATTATATCATTTTTAAAATACAAACCAAAAATCTGAGGAATAATTATATTTTCCATGTATTCTACAACATATTTATTAATCCGTTATATCTAACTAGCGTGACGTCATAAATCTTGCCCGCAGGCTGATCTTTTAATAGAAGGCACTGAGTAGGCCTTTTGCCTTTTTTTCTGAGAGATTGGATCTGTTAGAGACGGGTTAATCGCCTCCGTACAAATATTTCGGTAAAAAGCACTGTGAATCCGCTTTTTAACTGTAATTGCATGGGTATCCGATCTGGAGATTTGAAGACCTTTTTAAAGTATGCAGTTCAGAGTATTTCGTATTTGTTTGGTTTTTCTAGGAATATATCACCTTAAGTGTGTCCGCCATTTTGCATCGCCATAACTAACTAATTTTATTTCAGTTATTCCCGTTTTTTGATTTGTTTTGATAAGGTTTTGATTAATATTTAATTACTGGTTTGGATCAGCATATGGTTTGAATATATTTTGGTTTGTGTAAAGCTGTTATTGAGACCGAAGTTGTTTTTTTGGTTCAGTATTTGTTCTGAGAACTATCTCTTTTATTTATAGAGTAATTGTATGGATATAAGTAATTACATGGCCACAGTAATCCTATGGTACATAATAGTAATCATATGGACCTAAGTAATTATATGGGACACAGTAATTGTATGCTTCTTAAATTTCACCCACTTTCATTTTGTATGGACCTAAGTAGACCTTAAGACAGCATTCATGACCTTACATTTGTTCTTCTACTGATATCGAAGATTCTGCTGCCATAGTCATCTACTTCCACTTCTGTTAGTCTGGAGACTACCTATCTACCTGTTTTACAATATCATAAGAAACTATACAGATAAGTCCTAAGTTCGATACACAAGGTACTCCTTTATTTTACAATAATTTTTGAGACAACAGTTTAATATCTCTGTAAATTATTACTATTTATCCCATATATTATAGTCAAAATTACCTTTCAGTTAACGTTATAAGTTATAATTTGATTCAAATAGTATACTCTCTTTTACTTTGTTATGATATGTTATGAAGGTTTTTTGTACACGACATGTTTCGAAACATCATCGTATTCATACATACATAAATTTCACCTGTTTTTATATTAAGTACATAGTTCGAAAAATACTGTTACTAAATTTGAATTTATTTAAAATAACTTACAGTTTTATTGCGACCATTGAAACTAGCTGATACTTGTGTTAGTTTTTAAATAAAGTTTAATGTAGGATAGTTATCTCTGACATTTATTCTTGATGAACATAATAGACCCTTATTGCTGTTGATTACTCTATTCTAGCTATTTTGTGATAAAATATTCTTTTTGGTTTCTTAGCTTACCTTTGTCATAAACAAAGTAAGTGGCGCCCTTTTTACTGTCTTTGATCATATCTATACAAATACTTAACATCAATATTAAAATCTTTGCAGCCTAAATATTATCATTTTTTATTGTAATATTTAACATTAGAAAGTCACAGCAAGCCAGAAGCCTTACCTACGAATCCAGCTCTCCTCTAACCCTGAGCAAAGGATACTTTTTTTTCTGTTTGGGTAATGACAGAAAAAGTCGTCACAACAAATCCATAATAAGTTCATAATAAGTAGGTGCGTCACTCAGTGAATTGTAGCCAAAACTGTGCTATAAATCTGCGTGTGGGTGCGAGAGGCAGTAAATGCAGGTGAAATTGTTGGTCAAATTGTCCTGCACAGTTAGCCTGTGCTAAAGAACTGAGCGTCTGTGTGGACTATTAAGATACCTTGCACGTATCACAAGCCCTTCCGGACTGGGACTGTGATTTTCCATGGATGAGAAAACAAAAGTTGCAATTTTTCTTAAAGAGTTATTATAAGGTAGTAATGAGGCAATTACACTTTAAGTCAATAGTAATTACTTTTTAAACACAAGGCGAAATTAACTTATAGGGAGTAAAACTAAATTAAGCCAATTATTTCTTATATCTATTTGAACTTACTTGAAATTCCCAAGGTAGGAGTTTGTAAAATCTGAAAAAGAAAAAAAAACATAAAATTATAACCCACAAATATCAGACAAACCATATATATTAATTTATTGACCATAAATGAAAATTAAATAAAAAACATGTAATAGTCGTGTGTAAAATATTAATATATACAGGGTGTCCCAGAAATAAGTACAAGTATTTTAAGGGGTGGTAGATCTCGATAAAAGACATATATTTTCTCTTTAGGATCGTTTTTCAAAAAGCCCAAAGTAACGGAGTTATTTTACTTTGAAAATTTAAAAAAAAATTTTGTTAAAATTTTGAGAACCACTGGATATTTTCTGGATTTTCTTTCTTGTATATTTAATCTACCACCTATGTTGACATATTATCAAGAAATTATATTTTTTAACAAAAAAACTAAAAAAAAATCAAAAAAAAAATTCAAAAAAATCCGAATTTTCAAAAATCGCGAAAAAAAACCCTCATAGGCGTGTTTCTGGGGTTGAACTATACTACCAGTTAAAAATACTTGCAATTATTTCTGGTACACCCTCTATAATAGATATATAAGAAATATTAAAATATTTGACCGGATTGTCTTTACAAGAGGAAAAACATTTTTATTATTGACATTTTGAGAAAAATGCATTGTTCATAACAATTTTTTGATGTTCTAAAATAGTTAATCCCGTTTATACTTTTCCAAATTTCCATACCGTCTTAGAGAGAATAAAAAATGTAAAAATATGTTGATTGTTTTTTTTTTATTTCTAAGAGAATATGTTATCGATAAATTAGTAGTTTCATTACACTTTATACTTTTTAGATTACGATCATTGCTTTTGATAAACCCCATCTATCAAAGAATGCAATCGAAATTATATTACCATAGACACGCTTTTTGATTTTTACGACTTGGAAAAAAATTAACCATATTTTCATGTTTTTTTATTTTCTCTGAGGCGGTATGGAAATTTGGGAAATATAAACGGGATTAACCATTTTAGAACAACAAAAAATTATTATAAAGAATGAATTTTTCTCAAAGTACTCGTATCAATAATAAAACAATCTTTCCTCTTTGTTCTTAATAAGATTAAGATTGTTATAAAATTCAATATTTCAACATTGTTACAAAATCTATAACAACCAATTTTTCTCACGATTAATCCTTTATACGTGCAGGTAAAACAGGGATACTGAACAAAAACCCCATTAATTAATCACAATCGATTATAATACAGAACAAATAAATAAGCGGTGTTGAAACACCAACAACAAATACAACTCTGAATCGTTAAAAGGATTTTTATCGACCTCTAGAGAATTCGTTCGCTGTAGCTAGATCTATTGTGTTCGATCTCTTGCATCTCTATATATTTAATTAACAATCCGTTTAGCTCCGCCTCTCTGTTTTCAATTTACTTTCTATTATAAACACAGACCGACTTATCAGAAAAATGAAAGAAAAATCGAAATGTCAATGTGGTTTAGAAATCACGAAAAAGCCGTTGAATTGGCACTTGCTTGTAGTGTATGTGAGAACTTATCTCCATTCAAAACAAAGGATATTTGAGAGAAGTAAAATTTTAAATCCATATAATACGTTTTTAAATAAATATAAAATTTGTAAAATCTTCAAGAGAAGTTAAGCAGCCACACATATAAAATTAACCAAAAAATACGTATCTAGGAAATATGTGGATAAAGAAAAAAAGTTTGTTGAAAGTTGAGCAAATACAGGGTTGTTCACCACATACGACACGGAGTATTGTAGCTAAACGATTAGATTTTTAAAAATTGTAAGTTTTGGGTTCGTTGAAGGACTATTAGAGCTACAATTTAAAAATATTTTTACATGATACAGAGCGTCCCAAATAAATAAAAAATATCAAAGTTATATATTTTTAAATGGAACACCCTGTATATTATTACATTTTTAGTTTCTACGATTAAAACAAAGGTAAATTTGATTAAGGTTTATCACACTTAAACCTTACCGTTTTTGAAATATTTTCAATTTTGTGAAATTGCAGTAAAAATTTTAAGGCTTCATTTCTCCAAGGGTACCAAAGTTTTTAATACTGTCAAGGTCAAGGGCTAAAATGTATTACTGGTTGCCTGCACAACCGCAACGTGTCAAGAAAAATGGCGTATCCGCCAGAAATTAAAAATGTATTACTGGTTGCGTGCACAACCGCAACGTGTCAAGAAAAATGGCGTATCCGCCAGAAATTAAAAGACTTTTTCAGGCGCCATCTTTTAGTCAAGTCGAGAAGTAAGGGAATCAGACAATGGAATTGTCTGGTATGAAGAAGTACGCTTTCCGAGAATTGGGGAAATTTCGAGAAGCAGTCAATAGAGTATATAAGCCGGAGCCATCGACAACTGAGACAGTTTTTGAAATTTGAATATACCGCGTGGAAATTGAAAATCGGACAATTTGGTGAAGGAATAGTTAGTTTGTTGTGTGTTATAAGTTAGTAATTGTGTATAAAGTGAGAAAATAAATTCGTTAAGTATTTTATCGTGAGTTTAAATAGTGGACACACGGAATCCGTAACAATTGGTGTCGGAAGTGCGATTCAAGAGGATTTTAAGCAGAAATTAAGTGGATTGGAAGATTTTTAGACCGAATTAGAGTATTTTTATGGTTGGTACAAGGAATTTCGACTACAGAAGAATTTTGAAGACCTGGAAAAACGGCAGGAAAATCACCTTCAAGAAGCCGTAGAAGATCTTGAGGAACGCCTTCAGCAGAAAATGGAAAAATTAGAGATGGACCTACAGAAGACCAATGCACAAGTAAGAACACCTGGCGTTCATGGAACTGCGAACCTCAAGGCCCCGACCTACGATGGACAAACCACCTGGACGATGTACCACCGCCAGTTTGAAGCAGCGGCTGCTGCCAATGGATGGACTGACCAGGAGAAAGCAGCGGCACTTGTCATCGCGCTGCGTGGCTCTGCCCTGGAACTCCTGCAAACTATTCCTGCAGCCCAACAGCAGGAATATCAAACTTTGGTCGCTGCACTGGACAGAAGATATGGCGACCAACATCGACGCCAACTTTACCAGGCCCAGATCAAGACACGCCTGCAGAGGTCCGGAGAGAGTCTGCAGGAATTCGAAGCAGACTTACGTCGGCTGGTACACCTAGCGTATCCTGAAGCACCGGAAGGATTTATGGAGGAACTCGCTGCTCAGTGCTTTATCAGCGGACTGAGGGACAACGAATTACAGAGGGCGCTGCAAATATCCCGATTTTCTACCAGCAGCGAAGCACTCGTCAGGGCGCTGGAAATCGAAGCTGCTTTTAGCGCCATCCCTAGACCGAAGATAAGATCGGTAACGTAGAGGAACAGCCCGAGAGTACCCACAGAAGTTTGGAGGAGATGTGTAGAAAATTCGACAAACTATGTGTGCTACTAATAAACAAGGGAGTCAACAACACCCAGACAGAGAACCAGAGAAGATCCCAGGACATAAGGTGCTTTAGATGCGGCAGGAATGGCCACATTAAACGGGATTGCCGCGTTCAAATGCGATCCCGTTCACCATCCAGAGAACGTAGGCACCAGGAAAACTAAAATCAGTCAATACTAAGGGGCGAGTATTGACTGGGGAGAACAAGCCCCCAGGATTTTTTTCCATTAGAAGTCTAGGAAGAACCGCTGACAGTTTGGTGATCGACGGGAAAGTCAATGGAAAGGGAATCCGAATGACAGTGGACACTGGCGCTATGGTATCGTTGGTGCGGGCTAACTCAGTGCAAGGATTGAAGCTGATGCCTCTGAGAAGAAGAGTGTGTTTACGTACAGTTACGGGGGAAATGGCCGTTGTACGGGGGAGAGGCTATCGTCGAACTGAAGTTAGGAAATTTGAAGTTCCAGCATAGCGCGTTTTAGTGGCAGATATTGAAGATGACTTCATCTTGGGCATGGATGTGATTCGTCAACATGGATTTTCGTTCGATCACCAGAGAAATATCCTGAATATCGGAAATGAAGAGTTTATGTTATCTCCAGACGAGGGACCAGGAAGAATGGATGTAAGATCAGCGGAAACTGTGGTGATACCTGGTAATACCGAGAAGATCGTATTCGGTAAAGTGGAGAAAATCGCTGGGTGCTGTGTTGGACTGGTACAAAGTAGCGACAACAAACAGGATAGGTACTTAGTAGGAAAATCATTGGTTAACACCGACAAGAATATACCGATCAGAATTGCGAATGTTTTCCCGAATTGTGTCAAGATCCAAAAAGGTGACAAGATAGCGATCTGCGAACCTGTAAGAAGTGTTACCCGATGTGATGAAGTGTCGTCAGCTGTTACACAAAAGGCATCCCAAGAAACACTAAAACATCTAGAACAGCCATGGGATCACCTAACACCTGAGGAGAAACAGAAGGCTAAGCAGTTCCTGCTAAAGCATGGCAGTATTTTTGAGAAGAACAACAGTGGAAGAACGGATTTTGTGAAGCACCGGATTAATACTGGTCATGCTCAGCCGATTCGACAACGTCCTAGAAGAGTTCCCCTTTCCAAACAACAAGAAATGGAGACAATGGTAGATAAGATGTTAGAAGAGGGAGTAATCGAAGAATCATCAAGTCCATGGTCATCTCCCGTTGTTTTGGTGACGAAGAAAGATGGTAGTACACGATTCTGTGTGGACTATAGGAAGCTCAATGACGTCACTAAGAAAGATAGCTACCCACTGCCACGTATAGATGACACATTAACAACTCTGGCAGGTTCGTGCTGGTTCTCCACTCTCGACTTAAAGAGTGGATACTGGCAAGTTGGTCTGGACGAGGACGATAAAGAAAAGACGGCTTTTTCTACAGGAAGCGGCCTATACCAATTCAAGGTTATGCCATTTGATTATGCAATGCTCCAGCCACTTTCGAACGTCTCATGGAGGTGGTGTTAAGAGGATTAACTTGGAAAACGTGCTTGGTTTACCTCGACGATGTATTGGTTATGGGAAGAACTTTTGAGGAGCATTTGCGAAATTTAGAAGAAGTCTTT